GGTAAAATAATGTGCCCCTAGTCACACTGCTAGGCAGTTGGCTCCAGAGTCCAAGCTCTTGACAATGATGATGTGCTACCTACCTCTCAAGAGCATCACCTCAATTATGAACATGTTATGTTTGAGATGCCTATAAAACATAACGTAGACATGATGAGGGAAATATATTTGAGTTAGACATAACAATTTTTTATAGCCATCCACTTACCATTTAACTTATGTTAAATGAAGTGAGAGTTGGGAAAGGTGAACAAGATTATAAAGAAAAAGAGCACACAATTAGAAGAGCGATGGGCCTACGAGAAAATTCTAACATTATAAATCTCAGTATCTGGGTAGAGAAAGTGACACCTCCTCAAAATACTGAAAAGAACCAAAGTGGAAAGATAAATGTCAGAAGAATATGATGTCAGGGGAGCCAAAGAAAAGAGTGTTTCCAAAAGGAGGATGTAGTTCTGTGCCCAGGACTATGCAGAACTACTTGCTCATAGGTCAACCAAAAAGGGATTAAAAGGATGAGTAGGATTAAAATAAAAGCTTTCTTTAAACATGGAAGTTAATCTCCCACCTTCCTGATTTACCTATTCTTATAACCAACACTTCATTAAGCTAAAAGGTATTTTAAAATATATATGCTTGTAAAGATAGAGAAAATAGAAGAGAAGACATAGACAGATAAGAAACTTCAGCAAAAATTTAGAAGACAGGGAAAGAAGATGCAGTTTATGTACATATATGTTGCAAAGTATCTTATTAGCTACATTGTAAAGTAGCTACAAAGAGAATGAAAATTGATTTACACCGTAGACCTCTGTAGAATTTTGGAGATTCCAGGTAACAAGGCAAGAAACTGAACAGATTTAGTGTTGAAAATAAGAAAATTGAAAGTCTTCATATATAAGGAAACATGGCTTTATGCCAGGCAGAAGATCAGAATATTCTTCTCCAGAATATTTTTCCAGAATATTCTTTGGCTTGTTGCCAGATCATCAATAAAACATACCATCTCTGCAAATCTTCCAATTAGCTTTTAAGAGCATCACTCTTCAATATTGGGGGACAATCTAGGATCACCAGATATTTGTGGGAAACCTCTACCATGAAAGATGAAAATCAAAAGAAACAAATAGAAAATAGAATTCACAAACAACACAGCAACCAGGAGAGAAAAGACCAAAAGTCTACATTTAATAACTTCTGAGAGAAAGGAAAATGATATGCAACCTGAAACACAAATAGGATATTATAAAAAGGAATATTCAGGAAAAAACACATAGCTCTTGCAAGTAAAAATATGTTATTAGATAAAAGATAATTTAGTACATGGATTAAGAAGATAAAGTTGAGAAAATCTCCCAGAAAATAGAATAAAAAGACAAATACATGGAAGTTCTGTAAGAGAAAATAATTGAATTATAGCGTAAATCTAAGAGACAAGTCCTTCATCCAGCTAATAGAAATTGCAGAAAAGAAAAAATGTTATAAAATGAGGAAGCAGAAATTATAAATTAAATAATAACAGAAAATTTAACAGAATTTCAGGATAAGTGTTTCCAGAGTGAAAGGGCCCATCAGCACCCAGTGTGATGGTTTTTAAAAAAAGCAAACCAAAACAGATTGTCATGAATTTTTAAGACTGAGGGTAAAATAAAATTCTAAAATTTTCAGCTAGAGAAAAATGTAGGTGTGAAACAGGATTTTGAATAAGAATGGAACTGAGTTTCCTTAGAAACTAGAAAATATAATAAATAAAAAGTGCCTTCAAATTTATAAAGAAAAAGTATTTCTAACCTAGAATATCCAGCCAAACTTTTGGTCATTTGTGTGTAAAATAAAACCAGGTTTAGACATGAAAGGCCTCAGAAAATGTACCTACCATAAATCCATTCTCAAAAAGTGAATGGACATTCCACCAAGCTGAAGGAATAAATCGGAAAGAAAAAGATAAGACATCCAGAAAATAGTAAATATAACACAGAAAACAAATGCAAAATTCACAGGATGATGATGAAGAGACATTCCAGGACTATAGCTAGAAAAGCATGGAGCAAGAAGTGGCATTCCCAAAAGATTACTCCAGAATGGGGGAGAAGGGAGAAGTCAAGAAGTAGCACTACAATCAAGTCACTTAGAAACTTAGGGGAAAATATCTCTAAAAAGTGAGAGTTGGGATGCAAATAAGGAATGGAAGGTGATGTGGTTGAGAGCTCGTCCACCAACTAGATACCATTAATGAAAGAAAAGAATGTTCAAGAGATTGATAAATGAATGATATGATAAAGAGTAGAGAGATGTTACTACTAGGGAAGGGAATCATCAAATGAATAGGGCTTTTAGAGGATGAGAGAAAAGTAATAGTATTGAGAGAGCAAGGGAGATGAGAATCCCACCTGCCAACCCAGAATCTAGTTAATCAACAGAAGATGTGAGAAAATCAGCATGCTCTAGTTTTAAAGGCTATAAGATTAATGACCTTAGGAGAGAACCAACTTTTAGTTGAGTCTATAAGAAGGGAAGGAAGAAGCATTCAATGAAGGGGCTGAGGCTCAATGAAGATGTTGACCATGGTATAAGGAACCATCTAAGAGTTCAGAGGGAGCAAAGGAGAGAGAAGGTGGGCTAGGGGAATAGTTCAGCACACTGTGGAATGAGTGAAGAAATAGAAAAGATGACTAGAAGAGCTTGGATTTGAGGCTAATAAAAAGGAAAGCAGTTGTAAGTGAATTAAATTTTCAAAGTTTTGGTGGACAGTGGACATTGGCCAAATGGTTCAGGTGCAGGCCTGAGCATTCTTTTTTTCTCTTGGTTCATAATAAAAACATGTGAAAGCAGCAACAAATAGAGATCAAGAGATAGCCACACGATCCACCACAAAAGGATGAGTGAGAGACTTTGGGCAGCAAGAAACATGAGCAATTGATTCACCACTCCTCTGTGGGTCACAGAGGTAGATGATCTATGCCTTGGGTCAGCTCTGTGGCATCACTGCTGGGTGGCCAATGTGGCTACTAGTTACGTAAACTAAAAACCTGGGAATCTTTCAAGAAACCTCCTTCTCCCCTACAGCCTCCCATTCCACCTTGCATTTAATTTATCACCAACTTTTTGCATTCTGCTTCTTAAATATCTTCCCAATCCTTCACTTCTTTTTATCCTCACTGCTACTGCCATAGTCTAAGCTATTATCACTTACCTTTACAACTGCAATTATCTTGGCAAACATTTACTAGGTTCCTAATGTATGTCAGATTTTTGCTAGGTGCATTTATTGGATGTCTAATATGTGCTAGATGCCAGATCTAGGCATTGAAAGGCACCAATCCTATAATCAAAAATTTCAAGTAATATCAATTAAAATGATAGTTATAATTTGCCCCCAAGAAATGAGATAATGATAGTTGCAATTTGCCCCCAAGAAATGAGAAGTATGCAAGTTTGAGAGACAGAAAGTAATGGAGAAGAAAAGTCATTTTTTAAAATGTTTTTGGTTAGCCTTCTACACATTACCATGTGCAAACAACCACCTATAAGTGCTTACTCATGACCTGTCCCCAGAATACCCTTTTATTAATTTCAGAAGTTAAAGGAAGAATAAGGATGGCTTGTGGCTGAACTTCCAACAGCTCTTAATTGCCTCAAAATTTTACTTAACCTGAGCAATTTAAAAAACAAAATGCTAAATTGCTTTTTATAAACCATTACAAATTTCTGTTTCAGCATAAATTTATGTTGCTAGGTAAAAATAAATAAAGTACAAGTTTTAAATTAATGTTCTTTAAATACTAATTCTGTAGGCAAACTATACTGTATTCTGTGAATTTAAGGGTAAGTAAGATGAGATCTCCTCAAGAACTTGCTTAATACATGGGGAAATAGCATATACAATTAGAAAGCAATGTGCTCTGGGAACTCAGAGGAAGAAGCTATTCATTCTTCCTGGGAAGACATTCACCAAGATAGTGACCTTTTAGTTAGAATAAGAAGTTTGCAAGCAAATTATCATTAGCAGATTGTGATTGGGGGGAGAGTCCCAAACATGTTTATTTATTCATTCATTTGTTTGTTCTACAGTTATTGAAATTCTACTATATGTCAAGTACCAAGATAAATACAAAGATGAATAAGACAGTCCCTGCCTGCAAGAGGCTTATAGTCTAGGAGAAAATGACATAAAATATAATAGACTGAATTAAGTATTAAAGGTGCCATGATAGAAGTCTGTGCAAGATTTCATGACATTTGGTCAGTTTAACCTAGAGGAATAAGAAAAAAAACATGTGTTGGGAACATCACAGGAATTTCTACCCTGCGTACAAGTTATTCTCTCCCATTAAATCATAGGATCCATAAAGATAGATCCCCCATTCAGAAGTGCATAACCAATCCAGTTATAATCTGTAGCTCCAATAGAATTTAAACTCCATGAAAACAGGGTCTTTGTTCATGCATCACTCTAGCTGCAGTACCTAGATCAGTGCCTAGAACATTGTGGTTATTCAGTAAATATCTGTTCAATGATGGAATGAATTTGTGGATTTAAAAGAGGACACCATTAATTTTGGGGATGAAACTTGAATATTTTTACAGAAATGAAATAAATGTCTTTTACAAAAAATTCTGAAGATTTCTGTTCTACACTATAATTTGTGTAAAACTGCAAAACACATTGTAGATCCGTGTTTCAAGTGAGAGTGTAAGCATGATGCTGGCATTAAACTGCATGAAGGTTGTATTCTGCCTCAATTCTGTCATTCCAAAGCTGTGTGGTAATGGAAAGTCTGTTAACCTCTCTGAGTCCATTTTTTAATTTGTTAACCTATCTCACAAACCTTTTAGGGCTGTTTAAGGATTCAATGATATAATACACGTGTGTGTCCACTATAAAGTTTAAAGCATTATAGAATTATAAAGTATATACCTAAATTAATATTGTATGCTTTAAATATTATAAGAATGCCTGACAAGTGCAATTAAGGGTTTTTTTTCCTGTTTTTCTCTAGTGCAGTGCCTGGAGATGACCACCAAACGGAAAATCATCGGCCGTCTTGTGCCGTGCCGATGTTTCCGAGGTGAAGAAGAAATCATCTCAGTTTTAGATTACTCCCACTGCAGTCTTCAGCAGGTGCCAAAAGAGGTCTTTAACTTTGAACGGACATTAGAAGAGCTTTATCTAGATGCCAATCAAATTGAAGAACTACCCAAGGTAATTTTTGAAAACCTGAAATGTATGCTGTGAATGAGTATTTCATAATTTTCAAAGACTTAGCATAATAACAATGTTAATTATATCCTATCTGGGTAATTGACAAATCATTGAAATTGATATAACTTTCCCCAATATTTTCATTGCCTTCTAATACCACTCCATTTGTAACTTCATGTGATATATTAATGAACAATTGAACTTCTTGGAAATCATCATTTTATGGATTATGCCTTGTTATTTTCACTTAAAATGGTCTCCATTGGAGGGTTGGTATCCATAGCTTATGTTTAGAAAAGAAAGGAAAAATATGACACTGTCTACTCCAGAACTAAAAATTTTTATGTTGTGCAGTAAGGTGACATTTTAAAACCTTGAATTATATGTTCTAAGTCTGAAAAATGCTTTCACATACAGTAATACTATTATGAAAAACATGTTTTCTGTTCCTGGAGTTAAATATTTTATTATTACAAGCATCACTCAATATACGTGGCATATAGTTTGTAAAAACGGTTTACTAAAAATTTTAATTATCCAATGCATGAACACACACACACACACACAGAGCCATTATAACATTGTTCTATGCAAAGCAAACCAGGTCTCCTATGACCTCTTTCTCCATTGCAGAAAAGATTGCATAATAAGAAATTAGTTAAAGCAGATCAAGACCATACAGCAGAGAGGTTTAGAATCTAAACCAGGGGATCCTAACAGTCACCTCAGTAAGTGACTCAGATTAAGTAGTCAGCATGTCATTTACCTGTGAAGGATTTATTCAGAAAGGGAAATAATTGTCATGCCCTCCATTTCCATTGTTTATGCTAAAAAATATGTGAATTAAATGTCCAGTAACCAGAAAAAGAATCTTCCACAATAAAAACTAGAACTTCGTTATCAGAATCTGAGATTTCAATGTACTGATCAAAACAAAATATGAATAATTGGTTTCATTTAGGATTATGAATTATGGTGTTTACATATTAATAACATTTCTAAGTTAGGAACTATGTACTGTGTACTTCAAAAACAGTAGTCTTTATTTTTGACAACCTGTGTGTATTGTGTAATCTGGGATCTTTCCTCTGGAGAGCTAAATTAGGCCTAAAAAAATTGTTGGTCACATGGATTAGCTCTAGGATTGCACATCGAGTAGAGGTTAGTCTGAAATGGACTGTCTTTTCTACCACAGGAGGAACTACTTAAGGGAACAGATGGTACCTTATTTCTTCTCAACTCCCTGTACAAAGGCACTCATGGTGACTTTTACCTAATGGATACTGAGTCTCTGTTTTTCCTGACTGGTACAATAATGCAGAGAACTTCAGTCTTAAGACTTAATTAGCAAAAGTATATGAGGTTTAAAGAGTCATAAATTTGGTATTTCATTCTAATTCAGAAACATAAGCACAGGTTTTATTTTTTTGTTTGTTTTTAGGTCAGGCCAATCTAGGATTATCACATAAAATAAAGGATACCTGGTCAAATTTGAATTTTAAATTAAAAAACAAACAATTTTTTGTTTAATCACGTCCCAAATATTGTATGGGATCCATTTAATAGTTTTTTATTTACATGAAATTCAAAGTTAACTGGGCATCCTGTATTTTTATTTGCTAAATCTGGCAACCCTAGGCCAATCTAGTTATTTAAAATCTTTTTCTATATCCATTCAAAAGATCCTGTAAGATAAATAGTAAAAGCAGGTTAATTTATCAAGCATTTATTTAATATCTACTCTGCTACATGGTACTTGAGGCTTTAGTACAAGAGAAATAAATCTCAATCCCTGCTCTTCAGGATCTGACAGCCTAAGTACAGAAAAAAAAAAACTGAAGCATGAGGGATGAGTGCTCAGTTATGTAATCAGAGGCAAAGAACCAAATACTGTTGTTGAACTTCTGTGTGGAGAGAATTCCATTCTTAGAGAGGTGAAGGAAAGACTTGACCAAAAGGCACAGGTGCAAAATTTAAGATGCATAAGGGGAGAGCAGAGTTGTGAAGAGTTTGGAACTGCAATTACACGTGGGTGGATTCAACAAGATGTGGGAAGAGTAGGGCAGATCCAGATTTTGAAAGGTCTTGAAAGTCACATTGCATTGTTTGGCTTAATATATTAGTAAGATAATGTCATTGGAGAGTGTTATACATGAAGCAACACACTAGGAGCTTACATAGGCTTGGAAGATAAATATTAAGATATTTTGTCTATTTCGTTAGTTAAAACAATGGCCTAACAATAAATAAAAATATAAGTGTGCCAAAGACTTAATATACTTTACCAACATATTAGAATTAAAAATAAATTATTATCTTGTGTCATTGGCATGCTTTATCTATTTCAAAGATATTTCACATAATCAATTAAGGTTTCTTTAAGTTCCCAGATTCACTTTTGTTACTTTCATAAAACTTCCCTGTGAGTTAGTTTCTTCTAAAGTATATGATGTATTGAGATACGATCTAAATGATCTAACATTGGGATATGATCATTATAGTACATGGATATATTTGTGCATTACTAGAAAAAAAATAAGAAATTAAAAATCAAAAGGAATGATGATGTATCAACTAGAGTTCATTATGTGTGTTTCAAGTAATGGAAAACCCAATCCAAATGTACTTTAGAATGCATAGGCTTGATTGGCTCACATAAGTGGAAGGTCCATCTCAGGACAGGATCCAGAATTGATTTGTTTCTATGTACCTATATACCTTATGGGGGACTACCTTTGTCTGGCCTCTCTTGGTAGTAATGGCTAAAAGAGTTCTAGAGTTCACTTCCACAACATCTCGAAAGAGAAACCTGAAACACTCTTTCTGAAAAGGACAAAAATGTGTTTGCCCTATTATTCCTCAACACTTGTCCTTAGATCTCACTGGCCTTAATTGTGTCACAGATCCAGTTTCTTTGCTATTTGATTGCAGAATAAGCTATTATGCAAGAAAAATGGGATTGCCCTGATTGGGCTTAATAACAATGGGTCACCTCTGTGGAGTTGTGACTGCTGGCAACAATGTAAGGGGAAGGTGTGGAAGGACTGTTAGGGAGATTATCACAATATGCACTACAGACAAACTGCTATAAAGTGATTGTTTCACAAGGAAAAGTTGCTTTAAATCAAAGACTGTGTGTATAATTTTTAATGACTTGTAGGCAAAGCATTGAGATATTTGAGGATTTGGATCTTTAAAGTTAGATTAAAGTATTTTTGTTGGCCATCATATTTTACAGTTTTCTTTGTATTCCTGTGGTATTATTACTATTGTAATTTCAGATTGGTTGAGCAATATGATAGCCATTTTTATTCTTGATATTACATTATCATAAGAATTTTCTGTTATATATGTTTTTATTGTTTGCTTTCTGATATTTTGTACAGAGAATATTCTAGGTGGACATGAATCTCTACTATAAAATGTTATACAACAAGTACAGAACAAAAAGTCAAGGTAATGGCACTAGGAAAGATATGTCAAGAGTGTGTCAGTAAAGATACAAAAATAGATATAAAAGAACAGGAAGTATTTCGATTAGGAATAGTTCAATCTGTGTGTCTTAATTTTCTGTAGTAGAAGGTAAAAATATAAAACGACATGCCTTTCACACAGTGATAGAAACCCACACAGCTTATAATTTAGTACTGTTTTGCTTGTTATTTTGAATTAGGAACTTAAAATTACAGACAGAATAATAGACCATAACAGGTGCATATTATATATGAAGTAGTGTGGGAAGGCAAATGTGAAAAAAGCAACAAAGAGAAAAACTGCAGAGAAACTTCTTGAAACTGAAGAAGAACTTTTAAAAAGAGAATATAAATAATTTAGGAAAAGCCAACATGTGACCAAAACTAAAAGACATGGTGAGCAAATTTGTTAGATGAAGTCAGTTTATCCATATGTATAAGAGAACAGGATTAAATTTGGAGCACCATACTTTCAAAGTTTTCTTTACTTAAAAGTTTACAATCTACTCTACAGATACTTTAGAGGTTAATAACCTGGGCTTTCAGTACAAACAAACGTGGCATTAGATCCTAGCACTGCTATTTGGTTCACAAAGTATTTTATTTTCTGGAAACCTCAATTTCTTCATTAGCAAATGTGAGGAAATAACAGTGCCACTTCCTGTGTATAGACAGATGATTGATAGATAGATGATGATAGCGTATTGGGTGAGATAATGCATGTGGAATACCTGAAATAGAAAAATATTCACTAACTGGTATTTATTATTCTCCTATCACAGCTAAAGTAAGATTTCCATGTTAACTACTTTGAATGAAACAAAAGTAAGATTTTGTAACGTCTCAGGATAGTTCTAGGTGTTGACTATTCAACATGAAATTTCAGGGCATGACTTTATGTTGAATCTCCAAAGGCATCTTCTAGTAAAACATTTCCCTGCCCATAAAAAGTGATAGGTTTCCGACTCTACACAGTTACATCAACACATTTGTGATAATACTACTGCTTCCCCAGAGAATTTCCTTGACTCACAGAATGACAATATTATATAATTTTGAGGAGATGCAACCTTGGTGATTATTTATTTATTATTGGTCCTCAATTTATTATTAATAAGTATATCCAGACTGGTAAAGTTAATTGACTTTTCCTTAGGCCAGATGGCATGTTAGAGTGCTATCCAAAATTATTACCAAAAACTATGTATTAGTCAGGAAAGGAAAGGTTATGACACAGTAAAAGCAAATCAAAATCTCAATAACAGAAATTTTTGTGTCCCATGAGTGTTGGCAAGGACCACTGCTCTACAGGAGCCCATACCTAACAACTAGTCCAACTTTCCACTCAATGCAGAAAAGTCTACTTATTATTTCTCTTGCAAAGTCATCCAGTCTTTTCATGACCATTTCTATTACTGGAGAAAAATCACTCACTTAAGAGGCAGACCATTATACTATTGGAGAGTTCTAATTCTTAGAAAGTTCTGCAAGTTGTCAATGATGTTGTCCTATATCCATCCATCTATC